GTCGTGATTTATACTTTTTAACGCCGGAAATGCGTTAGACATATCACGTGAAGCGTAGTAGTATAAAATAGAATTGTACAGACCCTAAACAGTCATACTGTAGACATCTTTTTAAATATGGAAACTCTGATTCAAGAGCACCTCATAAACTCTGGTGTAGACGAAAGTGACTTAAAGAACAAAATTGTCCCACATCTTTGGGAAAAAGGCTTTAAAAAAGTTGCAGATTTTGAATTTCTAGAAAGTCAAGATTTAGATGGCAAGTTTTAATCTCATTGCATGCAAAATAGCCTCAAACTGTATCATCTACAGATTTGGATGTCAATGATGTCATCAAGAGAAGACTGTGGAAGTTTATCCATGCTGGAGATCAATCCATAACCATAAAGTCAGAATCAAATGGTGACTCAAATCAAGATGCAGAAATATACATTCGATATATCTTTTGCAATTGTGATCTTTTTGCGAATGATATAACTGAAATGAGGCTTAGGGACATAAAACCATCAATGAAGCTCAAGGATATAACAAAGAAGATACATAGTGAAAACAAAATTCCTCAAGAGGAAACAATCGAGCTATATTCAAGTCATGGATACCCATTACAAAATAATGAGATAACTGGAGAAGGTATAGATCTAAATAACTAAAATCTATCTTTATCTAATCTCCACTTTGATTCACTAGGTACATTGAGACATTGGAAAATAGACGATGGTGACTTATTTTATGTATTAAGAAGGCTGAAAGAGCAACCACAAATGAAAGAGTTTGTTTCATTACCTGAAGTAGATCACAACATTGGTAGGACCCAGTATAAAGTAAACTAATAATGTGAAAATTTAATAATTAGGTCAAGAAACTTTTGTAATTGAAACTCCTTTCCATGGCTCATTCCCAGTTAATGCATACATGGATTGTGACTCACCAGAAGACATAGCACAAAAAGTTTACAATGTTACTGAATTGCAAGTTCCTTTTATGTCACTCTATGTGAGGTGAGGTATACATGTAAATACTTAGCTAACTTTATGACAAAAACTTTTATGGATAGGAGGGGATATGAACATCAAAGAATGACAGCATTTACAGAATTAAAGGATAGGGATCACATTAGAGTTGTATTGAGAAACCCATTAGAAATTGTTCAGCCTCATTCTATTGATTATGGCAGCCAGAATTATCATTTTTTGGTTCCACAAACACCTAAAGGAATCACAAAATTTTTTTCAATACTTAAGTTAATTGTATGCAAACTATAATAGATACATTAATTGCATGTGATTGTTTATACAGTGTTCACCTCAGCCCTATAATAAAGAATATGACTTTGAAAAATTTTTGTCTTACTTAATGATACTCACTGATTTCCCTCCTTTGGTCTATGCATTACAAAATCTAAAAGAATTTTCTTTCCTTACAATATCTAGTTGGGTAAGTTCATTATACAACAAATAAAGCTTCTATGTTGTGTATAGACAGCACTAATTGAGGGTTTCTATTTACTTTTCAAAACAATCCTTGACTTCTTTGCTAAAGGTACAGTAAATTATTTGATGTGACATTTTTAAATACTATATATATAGTGAGCAAAGATGAAATCTTTGAATATTCAGATTACATTTTTTCCATATTCATACAAAAGTCACATGTAAGTTGAAAGAGGCTACAGAGCATGGCAAGTCCAATATCATATCATGACTATTTCAGAATATTGAAGAAACATGCACAGAAACACAGCAATGTTCATTGGTTTGCCCATTATCAGGAACAAGAATACATCAACCAGTCCGTGTAGATGTAGATATGACACAAGGTCCCTTTGATAAAGAAAACATCCTTGCTAAAATTGAAAGTATGTTACTTTAAATGACCCTTATAAAATTACTTTAACAAAATGTAGGTGATAATGACTTTGGTCAGTTTGGAGGCAAGCTTACAAAAGAACAGATAAAGAGAGACATTGAGACTGCTAAACTTCTCATGTATTTTCCATGGGAAACTGATAAAAAAGCATGTGTATGGACAAATCCACCAAAATATGTCAAACCACCCAAGTGAGATACAATATAATTAAAGAAGTTATATTCAAATTTTCAATTTTTACACTTAAGAATTTGTAAAAAGGTAGAGGTATCATTTAAGTGGTATGATATGTTAAACTCATTAAAAGAGCTACATATACTGAATCCTCAAGGATTATATAGCGGGGATGAGTGTTTAACTTACAATAGTGAAGGTTAGCTTGTGCATGGTTCTAAAAATATTTAAAATCTTATATATAGCACATTTGATATACTTCCTTGGCTCAACAAAGAGCACAGATGAAAAGCGAAGATTCTACAATGCATGTGCTGATGTTGAAAGTAGCTACCAACAAGTGATACACAAATCTGAACTTGAGACAATTGGAAAGTTAGCCATTTATATTTAGCTCAATAATGAAATAGTTGTAGCTCAGGCCTTGAGATGCAAGTTACATCTGATATATGGAAAGTTATCAACAAAGACACTGAGGAAATTCAAAACTATGATGAAATAAGGTGCCTTTGATTGGTGTCATTCATTAGTGAAATTATGGTATATAGAAAATCTGCTGTCATTTCACCTAAGGAAAGTATACAGTGGGAAACAGAAGAAGCAATTGTGGTAAATAACATACATGTACAGGTATTTTATCTAGACCTAATGGTTTTATGCCATAGATACTATTTGATCAAAGTGGTTCAATGAAAAACGTAGTTTTCAAAGAGTAAGTGTGCAAGCATTTTTAAAACTTTTAGAGCAGAAACATAGAATGGGGAACATGACAAGAATTGATGCTGCTAAACAATTGTTCAACAGTTTTGCAACACGGACTCAAGCATATAAGCTGCACCATGCACTAGGACTAACTATATTTGGATCAGAAGTCACTGTAAAACTAAAGCTCACAAATAACACTGAGGAATTTGAGGTATATTAAATCAGAATTATGATTTGCATAAATACAATAGACAAGTTTGAAAGACATTGGCATAAAAGGTTCAACAGAATTGACAGCAGCAGTTGTTAATGCAGTTCAGCAACTTAGACAGTTTAATTGCAAAAGGTAAAATTCTTTATAAATCACAAATTAAAGCTGATTTTAGGAGAATAATGTGCTTAACAGATGGACACAACACCTCGAGAACTACATATGAAACTGCATTAAGCTCTGCAAAGGTATGCTAATGACAGAATATTATTTATTTCATATTATTCTTTAAGGAAGCTAATGTAATTGTAGATACAGTTTTATTGACATTCCCTGGAGATAATAATGAACAAAAGGCATTCTCTCATGCAACGGGTCTCAATATATCATTTTGCTTGCTAAACTAAACTAGCCTTATAGGAGGTGTTTGTGTTCTCCCTAAAACAATGCAGGAAGCACTCAGATACTTTGAATTAGATGCAATGCTCTCACTGAGTGAAAGGGTTTCTAGACAATTTTCAGTATGCAATAATTATTATGACAATTTTTTATGTGATTCAATCCATCAATTACATAGACTGACTTAAGTGTGTTAAAAGACACCACTAATTATCCATATGAGACAGAGACTAGCTTTAAATCAATCTACATTGAAGCATTTCACAAAGTAAAGACACAGTCAATAAAAAGGTATATTAATAGTAAGAAAAAATATTGTTAATGTTGCACAAAGTCACATAGATCAGTTGAAAGAAACACCAAGCAATTCACAGCAACGAAGAATATTAAGAGAACTTAGAGAGTTCATGCATAATCCTCATCACAGTATAGCAGTTTATCCAAGTCAAAACAAGTGAGCCCATTGATAAAATAAGCGGATCATTTATTTTGTAATTCACTCATACATGTAGCTATGAGAAATGGAAAGTACTGATGACTGCCCCAGAAGAAAGTGCTTATGCAGGAGGTTAACTCATATCACTATGCATGATTATAGAACAATATATTTGATTTAGGAGTATTTGCTCTGAGTGTTGAATTTCCTAAAAAGTATCCCTTTACCCAACCTGAAATACGATTTCTTACACCAGTATGGTTAAGCTATATATAAGCCTTATTTATTTACCACTGTTAGATATATCATTGTAATGTTAGTAGCAGCAGTGGGAGGATATGTCATGCAATACTTGGAGAATCATACACACCCTCCATCAGTATGAGAGAAATACTGAGCTACATTTATGGACTGTTGATGTGTCCTGACATTGATACTCCTCTTGACAGGCATGTATATTATGTAGATTCTATAAATTATTTATGAATAATTAATTTTATTATAGTGCACTTGCTGGAGAATATGGATACCAGAGTGGTAGAGACAAAAGTCATACTGAATATTTTCAAGCAGCAAGTGGATACTTTAGAAAAGCTGGGGAAAAAGTCAAATTGCATGCAAGTAGAGCATTTGATGATTTACACAAAGTTAGTTCAATGAAATAATTTTAAATTTATGATGAATAAAATCTCTACTTTCTGTAGGAATTTAGTGGATGACTTGTCTTGAACTATATGTACTATTCAAATTAACTATTTGCTGTATACATGTACATGTATGTTTAGTTTATTTTAAAAACTTCACAATTTAATAACAATGAAAACATCCATCTATGCAACAGTCTATCAAATGAACAATTACAGTACATAAAACATTACAATGTATATTGCCTAAATTAACAAAACATCAATTACTACATAGTAAGTGTTTAATGTAACATTGCTATTGGCTTAATCACGAAACAATGCTCTATGTACAAAGCTACATAAACATTATTTACCATGCAGCCAACTGAGCCTACATGAGCTTCACAATTAGCAATCAGAATTTGACCATTGTCTTTAATGACCTACATGTAAATGTGCAAAATTTCAAAAAACACAGCAAATTATAAGTGAACGTGTTTATAGAGGCAAAACATGCATAATGCTATTATGCCACACATCACTAGGATACTTTAGTTCTTTATAAACAAAAGCAAAACAACTGACGTAAAATAAAAGTTAAGGCTATACTTACATGCATAACTTGAAACGAGTGAAAACAACAAGTCAATTACTGAATGAAAGAGAAGCTTTATAGATATAAAGGCTTACGTTATAGCCTATGACAGAAGTATTTTGTTAGTCTGAAA